GAAAGGGGGTTGTGGCGAGGTGAGTGTTGGTGTCTTCTCCCACGTAACAAGCAATAGGACGAGAGGAAATGGCGTCAGGTTGCAGCAGGGGAGGTTTATATTGGATATTAGGAAAATTCTTCACCAAAAGGGTTGTCAAACATTGGAACAGGCTGCCCAGGGAAGTGCTTGAGTCACCATCCCTGGAGGTATTTAAAAGATGTGTGGACGCTGGCGTGCTTAGGGACATGATTTAGTGGTGGACTTGGCAGTGCCGTGTTAACAGTTGGACTTGATGATCTTAAAGGTCTTTTCAAACCTAACAGATTCTGTGATTCTTTTTGTGTGTGGCTGTTTGATATGCTGATGAAGTTTGCTCTTTAGAGAGGAGTGGAAAAATAAACACGTGATAAGGTATACACTGTCAAAATTAAGGTGGGTCAAACACTAAGTAGAAGCTTATGAGGCTTAAACAACTTAACCTGCAAACGTGAAGTTTCTAGTATGTCATGTTGGTAGGGTGAATTTTGCCCTCTGTGTGTGTCTATAAATGAAAGCTCGGTGCCTGAATCTAAATTAATCACCTGAAGCTCTTTTTATAGTCAGCAGAGAGAAACAAAGTACCTCTGCTGGGTAATTTATTTCAACTATTTTAAACACCTCTTTAAGATGAAATGAACAGCCCTCAGGAAGTGACTGTTTATGTCCTTTTGCTTTAAAGCCGTTGGAGGATGAATAACTTAGAGTTGAGCATTTAACTTTACATATCTGAGTTAAAGGAGAAGCATACTAGTGTATTTGTCAATTGTTGGCTCTGCAGACCTATTAAGAAAAAAAAAATCTAGTTACAAAATGAAGGTGAAGGAAGAAGGATTACAATTCATTATTTTATTAAAATCCACAGAAGTTGGTGTTTGAACTAGGTAAATACAAAGAATTTCATGTGTAAGGAAGTGAGGCATAAGCAGCTGCATTGTCTGAGTACTTCTCTCTGGCTATTTTTTTTAATCTTTAGAATTTGAGACAAATTTTACATTAAAGTTGAGCTGTGGAAAATGAGTGGCCAGGTAAAGGGGAGAGCACCAAATTAGATTCCAGCTGTGGGAAAGGTGAGGTCATGATGTCACATTTTTAGGTACAAGTGAAGCCACATGAGAGAGAGGCAGGTAAGTCAGGTTTGTAACTCCTTGTTGTTTGCAGAATTATTAGTAGAAACAGCTTATTTGGCTTGGGTTTAATTATAGCCTAATACCAGCTACTTTTCCAATGCGCTTTTTACTTCTTATTGCCTTTCTTTCTGTTAATGTTTGTGAGGCTAACACCAAGTAAATAATTTTTTTTTTATGCCAGTGTAGCATACTGGAATCTAAACAATTTCTGGTCTCCAGACCTGTAAATCAGTTGACATAATGAAACTATAGCATTGTCAGGGCATGGAAAAGTTTTGCTCTCTTAAGCCATTATTTCCTTGGACCTCCATATGCTCCAGTTATAACATGGAACCTAAATTTCAGAAGATCCTGTTTCAATGCTTGAAGAGAGTGGATGGGCTAGATGGGTATCATTTCCTTTTGTCCATCTGGAGTGCAGGATGATGGCAGGGGTCCTGTTTTGTAGATTAAAAGACCTTCAAACTACTTTATATACTACCATTAAATGCTTTTGGTTTAATGTTTATATAAGTCTTACTAATTTTTCTCTTTAGTAAAAGGCAGGCATGTGTGAATAATTATGAAATATGAAACATTGGAATATCTGAGTAGGAATTACTGAATCATCACTCTGTCCATGTTAGCTATGCCTCAAAGGAACTCTCTACCTCAATAGAAATCAAAATAGGACTGCTTTGTGGTGCTAATTTAAGTTTTGTTATGATACAGGGATGTGAAGAGAATGTTGTAAGCTAATATCTAGTTTTGTTGATCTTGAGGCAACCTGATTTAATGCTATCTTTCAGTAAAGGCAGTTCAAGAAATCACATCTTTTTCTAGTCTCTGTACAGGAGATTGGTGCTAATTCACTTGTGCTACTTAGAAGGTTGTTCTGACTTAATCTTCCTAACAGCATTTTCTTTTTTTATTCTAAGTATGGGTGACCTCAGTCATCTTATTTATCGTGCAGCCACACAAGCAGCTATATCTCTATAAAAGAGGAGTCTGACAGCTCCTTACCTCACTAGTGTGAGGGAAGTCAGTGGCCAGATGTGGAAATGCCTTCAATGGCTTTAACAGAGATATGTCCCTGCATCAGGCTTCGGAAGGTGGTGCCTGTCTGAGTGTGATCCGTTTGACTGTTTGGTTTTAAATAGATTTACAATAGCTCAGGAGTCCTGAGGCATACAAATTGCACATCTTCATATCAACTTTTTCAAGAGAACCACTTCTGCATTAACATACATATAGCCAGTAGTGCAGGTGACAGTAACAGGAATTTTACTTTGTACTTAAATTTATGATTAATTGAACAATTTTAACAAAATATTTTGTAGGAAACTTAAACATACTGAAAGTTGTGTTTATCCATGGTATGATAAATAATCTCAGTCCAATTATATGTGACAAAATGTATGGTAAACCCACTTTAAGTAGCTTATATATATGTTATTAGTACACTAACAACATGAGCATTTAGTTAGGTGTTAAATAGGTAGATTTGCTCTCAAATGTAGAGGACAATATTACTGCAGTATGAAGGTTTGAACATAGAAAGAAGAGATATGAATATAAAATGAGATGCCTTTGTAGCACAGCATAATACTGGATTAAGAGTTAAACAATAGAATACATAGACCAATTAGATGGCTGAAGCCAAAAAAAATAAATCAATTTACCTTTAGTTAAATTTACCAAAGCTTTTTTAACATGTAGATGTGGCACTTTGGGACATGATTTAGTCGACATGGTGGCATTGCATTGATGATTGGACTTGATGATCTTAAAGGTCTTTTCCAACCTTAAAGATTCTATGATGCTATGATTTCTTTTTAATTTAATACATAGTTTATTGCAAAGTATATTGGTTCATGTCATCTGAACATGCAGTTGAATTAGCTAATAGTTTTATTTATTTAGCACTGATCTTGGCTGGGACTCAGTGCTGCTCTAGGTAGATGCTGCTAGAGACAAGAAATAACAAAAGGCTCCATCAGCTGCAACTGCTGCGTTTCTCGTGTCGCAGCCTGAGAGGGACAGAAGGACAGACAGACATGCACGCACAGGCTAGCAGAGCTGAGGAGCAGCAAGTGCCGGCTGTGGGCAAAGTACAGCATCAAAGTACAGCATCTGGGCAACCTGCTTCAGTCTGTAGACCTGAAGGGCCCTTGCTGTGGGCTGCTGTGACAAGTCCATAAGGAGCTGTGAAAAATGCGACTGTATTCTCTGACAGGCAGGCTGCCAGAAGGGGGACACATTACCAAAGGAAGTACTTATGTACATCTGCATTTCTGAAACTATTGCTTTTGTCATGCAGGACACAGGGCAAGGTGGAATTTTTTTTTTTTTAATCATGGCAGCTAATATTTTATAAAAAATGTGGTATAACAACTGTTCTTTTGAGTATTTCCTAGAGCGTTAGCATGTGTAAATTATGTTCTCCTCTGCCACTGTTGGTGAATCTAACCCATTGTCTATTTGGAAACACAAGTCCTTGCTAACTAAAATACATGGAGATCTTATTTTCTGCCAAAGGGTTAGCCTAGCAGACCTGTACATTCTTGTACAGCCTGTGAGTTTTCAGCTAATGACTAATCCAGGTGATACACTTACCAGAGCTTGCATTTATCAGTCATAAAACACGAGCAGCCTAGTGTGTTTGGCAGAGTGCCTGCTTAATCCTGCCACTTGTAAATATGTAGTCTTGAAGTATGTTTAGGGTTTGGGGTTTTTTCCAAACGTGGTATAAAGCCCTTATATACAGATGGATTTTACCACCTTAATGCACACTGAATACTGTCTTCTCCAAACTTTCATAGTCATTGAAAGATAAGGTAGTGCTGGGTATGAATACACATTGCAGAGTGTGGCATAAAAAGACTACTCTTTGAGAAGTAAAGCAGAAACGTTGTGTTATGTTACTGATACATTTTTTTTTTTCAACTTGCTTACAGAAGCCAGGCATTCATCATTTCAGTAAGCTGCAGATGTTGAGCATGTTCAGTGTTCTTTAAGTCACTTTCACAGTACTACTCCTGTACACCTGATGATTGCATTTTGGTGATTTTAATTTTTTATGTTTACTGGCACTTTTTTCATTGTCCAAATGTTCTGTTTTGAACTTCTAATGTAATTTTTTTCTTTAAGGTGTGACTGTACAGAAAAATTACAGAGTAAATTCGACTTCTTGCGGTCACAATTGAATGACATTTCATCCTTTAAGAATATCTACAGATATGCCTTTGATTTTGCAAGGGTAAGGCTACTGGAATGTTACAGGAGTTCTTATTGTAATTTTCCAATGAGCTTGTACTTGAATGGTTTTTGTGCTCTCTTTATTCAACCCTAGGATAAAGACCAGCGAAGTCTTGATATTGATACTGCAAAATCCATGTTAGCTCTTCTGCTTGGAAGAACTTGGCCACTGTTTTCAGTATTTTACCAATACCTGGAGGTACAGGTTTCATTGACTTTCTGAATGATGGCATAGTAGTTGGGCTGTGCTGTGAAAAGGTTTCATGGTTTGTGTTTTGCTCAGGAATGTATCCACATGGTTCCTCTTCCCTTTCTTGATGTGCTTATGAAACAATGATGTTCTTGTATGCATCACAGATCTTTTTCTCCCTCTCTGTGCCCCACTCTCCCTTCTCTTATCAAAGGCAACTAAAATTCTGTTTTAATTAGACTATAAAAGTAAATTTAAATTTAAATAATTGATCCCCAGTAGTCTCTTCAGCTGCATCTGTGCTGAATTTCAAGTTTGCTTTGTGTAGATACAGTATGTAGGTACCCTGAGCTCTGGCTGTCTCTGGAAGATTTTGGTCAGCTCAGCTGCAAGTGACTTAGTAATGTGGACATGTGTAGGTTGAGCATACTAGACTTGAGACTGTTTCCTGGCTTCAAATCAGTACTAACGTTGCAAAGTAGATGTCCTTATCGTACTGTATTGCACCCTGAAGAAAAGAAGATTTTTGTAATCGTTCATTCTGGAAATATATCCAAGATAGGTATGCCCCACTTCAGGGCAAGATGAAAATTTACCAGTTTTTGAAGTGCAAGAGCAGTGACTTCCTGATTCCCTGGTATTTTGATTTTGCTCTGATCTTTCAAGAAAGTATTTTATGTAGTTTCAGAACTATGAAATATGTACATATGTAGCATTTTAAAAAATGGAAAACCAAGGTAATAGTAGCCATTGTTACCCATTAAATGGTTTGTTAGGGACTGATTGAAGATAAAATGAGAGAAATGAGATGCAGCATTACCAAATATCACTTAACATTTTAATTCTGAAATTCTGAAATAATTCTGAAATTATGTTCCCTAGCAATCGAAGTATAGAGTTATGAACAAGGATCAGTGGTACAATGTGCTAGAGTTCAGCAGAACTGTCCATGCAGATCTTAGCAACTATGATGAAGATGGTGCATGTAAGTATTCATAACACTTATTTAACTGTTATTTCAGTATTTTCAATTTGCATAAAACAAATTTCTGTAACAGAAACAATACTGTAAGGTATAAAATACTACTTCTCCAACAAAGAAGTTGTTGCATAGAAAAACCATCCATCTTCAAACTGCAGATAGTAATTGTAGTAATATGTCAGGGGTATGATGGTGTACTTGAGCCAACTTATATTCTGTTGAGGATCTAGTGAAGCTGCTTACTATGTGAAACTGTAGACTTGCAAGTAGGATTATAAACAGCAAACTCCCATTTAATAAAATACTAATAAACTCTAGTTTAACTATAAAGCAGCCTGGCTGCTGGTATGTGGGGCTGAACTCTACACCTGGCTGACAGTCAATCATACTACAGCTGAATTGCATTAGACATCCCATTTTGGTCCGTGTTCTAATTATGTGCAATTTTGAAAGCTCTAGGAAGAAAGAAGTATTTGTGCCAATTTTACAATATAACCTTATTTTTATGCTTTCCGTTCAGTTCAGTGTACCTGTCAGATGTTAGGAACACTTTTTTCCATAGTTTTGGGTAGTGTTATTTGTGTACTTTTTGTCACCTTTGGATTGAAATGATTGCAGTCATCTTTGAGCCTTAGTAAGTATTTGACCATAGGATTGACATAGATGTTACCTAGACCAGTAGTTTTAACGTTCACACTTTAAGAGAAGATGTTTGAAAGATACTGGCAAATATAACTCCAAGTTTCATCCATTTGCAGGGCCCGTACTTCTGGATGAATTTGTTGAATGGCAAAAAGTTCGTCAAGCGTCATAGCAAGAATTCAAAAGAAAATGCAAAAGTTTTTTTGGTGCCCACCTGTACACAAACTAATGAGAAAAACAAAGGATTGCATTTTCATTCTTAAAGACTTTACAGTATTTTTTTTTTCCTTTTTAAGGAAATTTTCTTGTTACACGTGATATGGGCATTGAACCACACCTCTTCTGAGACTGAAAGTTGGAGTTCTTGTTTTGAGTCTTATGTTTATAGCATTTATTTCAGAACAATAAAGATTCAGATTTGTGACAAAGGCCTAAAAGTGAAGAATGTCCCTTGAATGTGAGTGTGGTGTCTATTTTTAAAACCAAATCTTAAAGATTATCTTTCTCAGAAGTGCCCTTTGCTATGAATTTTTGAAGACCTTAAAATGGCACTGTTGCTTGCTGATGGTATGATCGTCATGTGTGACAAACATTAGAAAGAATGACTGATTTTTTTTATTTTTTTTTTAGAGCCCTGGGTGGGAGTGTGCTAATTTGTGTACTAAGTATTGGTCATGGGTTGTGGCACAGTTTTCAGCTCCTTGTGGAGATAAAGGCCTTAAACTCTTACTTTTTTCTTTTCTTTTTTGTTCAGTACCCACCCAGTGGCATGGCATTTAATGGCAGGCCCTTTGAAAGCAGAAGTGTGTAGAGCATGTGGCTCTATATGCAGAATGGCGGAAAACTAGTTGCCCGTACTTCAGATGGTGAACAGAGATACTCTTTGGTACAGTAAGGCAGCTTCAAATTTTTACTATAATTTAGACTTTGGATTACTTTGTATAAAAAGTGCAATTTATATTTTAAAAGGGAAAGCTGGAAAGACTTGGTTTCAAGCTTTGCTTCTTACATGTTTTAGACTGGAAGCGTTTACAACATGACTTTTTTTATGTCCCTGGATGCTTTTCGTAATGTGAGTCAAGAACAGACTAGTAAATCACCTACCTTTGATCTATATATAACAGGGTATTAATTTTTACCCTGTTACTCCATATATCGAGTCCAATAACTACTGTGATTGCTCTTTTAGGTGCTCAGTATTCATGGCAACCTTTAAATACAATAGAAGCTTGTCACTCTGCCTTCCTGCCCAGGAGGCCCAATGCCACCCTTGAGAAGTAGAGGGATTTTAATGAGTAACTGTGAGAAACCAAAACAGAATGAGAGAACGAAGCATTTGTAACCTCTGCTTTATTATATAAATATATTATGTAGACTGTGATAATGCCATGAGACTCAGTCAGTGATCAAGGCCTCATTGTGCCAAATATTTCAACAGCTTGAAATAGGAATAGACAATGTAAGCTAGGCATGACTTGAAGATCTTTGCCTCAGGGAAATGACTTCTGTTTTGCACATCCCTTATTTGGACTAACAAGCATGAGTTTTCCTATCCTTAAGGAAAGCTTTATTCCCAAGATCAATTTTTTTTTTTAACATGTAGGGGAGAAAAAAAGAAAAGGTGTGAGGACAAATAATAAGTGGGACAAACTAAAGGTGTGTGCCTGTGCTCTTGTTCTGCTGGAGACTCTTGCAACTTAGTCTCCAGACCTGCTTGCTATGGGCTGCAGGAAGCAATGCAGTGGTGGTCCATGGGCTGTTCTGCAAGTCACCTGCAGTTGAGCCTTAGAAGCTTGGTTCTGCCCAAGTACTGGGAGGGAAAAGAAACCAAAAAAAACAAACAACAGCTGAGATACTTGGAAGATCTCTGCTTGTGCAGTGGCTGGTGTCTGTGTGCATGCAAACACATGCACTACAGCTCTTCTAAATATTTTTCCACCTTTTTTAAGGGAGGTACTTAATTATAGACCTCATGTAGGCTACAGCAGTTCTCTTCAATATGTTACAAGTTGTCCATTTGCATTGCAGATAATTCTGATTTCACTTACAACAGAGTGCCTTTCACTTGGAAATTGCCCTACCCCACAGAAACTTAGTGCCAGAATGAGATTAACTTCAAGCGTCCCAAGATCTACTGGTAGAGTAAGGTCCTAAGATGCACAGATAAACATGCACCAATTAACTCATGTCAAGGGAAGTACTGCTGTATACTAAACCTCTGCAGGGGCACTGATTCTGAAATTACTTTCTCACATTCACTACAGTGACTCTCCTTGCGTAGTATGTTTAGTCCCCATTATACCGGGGAAATTCTCTTTCCAGAAGCTTCAAAATACTGGTTAGAAGATAAATATTTTATAGTGTGATTTAAAAAAAAAACTACCCACATCTTTTTTAGGTAACTGCGAACTCGTGTGAATTCAATTTAAACCAGTTGGTCTTAGACGATGGTGTTAGAGTCCGACAGTAGGAGTGATGCATCTGCCAATCCAAAGTGGTCAAGTACTTACCGTTAAGGTGTAAGACACGATGTGATGTATCATTTGTATCTCTGTAAAGGTTTTATCAGTATTCCTATAATAAATCCATGTTTCAGGGATTTATAACTTAGTTGTGTGTGGGATTGAAAATCATCAGTTACTGTAAAACTTTGACTGGGAATGAATGTATTTAAACTACTTAAAATCAATATAGTTTTTCAAGTTTGAATAAAATAGGATTTTAAGTTATGTTTTTGTGCTCAAAACTGCAATTAGACTTATTGTTTAAATGTGAATTAATGGCTTGTACAGTTTCGTTCTGAGCTGATCACTTTTATTAGCTGTCTTTTATTAAATCACCTTACAGCTTACTGTGGGTAAGTGCCAAAAACTGTTTGTTTATTTCATTTTCTTAATTTTGTGCATGTCCACAGCCAAATCTGAGTTCAAGCAAATGCTTTCTTTAGTCTTTGAACTTTAATTTTGGTTTTTTGCTCAGGTGCATTTCAGTCTTTTGAATTAAAAAAAGTGACACCTCATTTTTCAGTATGCTAAGGTGAAAGTTCACAGGTGAAATATGCTGCCACAGTTATGACAAATAATAAAATTGAAGGTGAAATGTCTTCCAAAACGAAATCATAGTGGTTTCTATCTTGATGTTACCAACTTCACTTTAATCTCACTTCCTTTTTCTTGATATTAATTCTTCTTAACATAACTAATTTTTTCTACTTTCCTTAGACAACTAACATTTTTGGTTTTTTAAATCTGAAAACACCCACCTGTTCCTGGAAAAAGCCATACTGGTAGATTGGAATGTAATATTTCTCCTATGTAAAAATGTGATCTTGAATTAAACAGTCATGTATGTTTACCTATGTCTTTCACTGTATATGTAGTTTTGATCCAGTTTATCTTTACTGTTTAAACATCTAATTCTTCACTAATGGCTGTAACTTCACGTTTTTGTATAGTGGAATTTGAATTCTGCCCCGGCGGTTGCTATGGTTACACGCTTGGCACCAGTCGCAGGTGGCCCGAAAGGGGGCGCTGTGGCCCGTGCGGCCATTGTTGCGGTTTCTTCTCTGCTGGAGAGCTTTGAGCTGATATATCGATATTGCCAGGACAGAACTTGCAGAAGGGACCATCAGTTTAATGTTTCTGATGTTTTGTTCGTTTTTTTAAGCTAGTGAACAGTTCTTTCGATGCGATACGTACAAACTTGTTCAGGTTTAGCTTTGCTAATTAGGACAAATAAAATGGTATGTAATAGGGCAGAAAACTTAACTATTATTGTCATGCTGCCTCCTTTAGTTTTTCCTTTTGCGTATGTATAGGTGTTCTTCAAATCACCGAGAGACCTGATTCCAGCAAGAATCAGTCTAATTTCTAACTTAACCTTACTAATTTCTTTGCTCCTGTGTGCATGCACAGAAACTAGAACTTATCTCAACTGGGAGCAACAGCAAACACTGTACTTGATTATATCCAATGTTATTAGGTGCTGATAGAACATAATGGTCCCGGTAATTAACTGTCATGAATTATTCATTGGATGAACACTGTTCCAACAACCTGTTAGAATGCATGTGAATGAAAAGAGAACGAGCTTTTCTCTCTTTCCCTGCTGCCTCTCTTCCCCCCTGCGTATCTCGTGGGTCACTTGTCTGTTTTTAGCAAAGTATATGGTGTTCTCTGGTTGCACTCTTCCATAGGATCTTTCAGAGCCCATTAGAGAAAAGACTGAAGCCAGCATCCCGACGTACTTTTGAGTTAGTGACGCTGCTTTCCTTGCAGATACAGCTTGTGCTGTGTGCTTCACACTTTCTAGTTGTTGAGGTCAAATGCCATACCTGCCTCAGGACAGTCTCCCCTCCCAAAGATCAGTCTCTCTCAGACCTAAGGCATTCCTTAGAATTCCTTAAACCTAAGACCTTCCTCTTGTCTCCACAGTTCTGCTTTATCTGCTTTTGATAATGAAGTTCCTGATGCCCTTCCTGAGTCAGTAGGATATTTAGAGGTATGCAAACCAGGCATCATGTATCTGTATCTACAAGCGATGGCAACAGTTCTGTCACTTCTCTTAACCCTTGTCTTCGTAGTTCTTTCTGTCTCTGTGGGAAAGGACACTGTGGTGTTAGGTAGGCATATTAGAGACTGAGTGTGTACTACAAGGTGATGTTCCCTAGTGTTATCTTAATTTTTATTTTTAAACCACTGCCAGGCTTGTCATCAAAATGAAATTAGTTTCTCAGATTTGTATAACATTTCATCCAGACTCTAAACTTTAGTCTTGCTCCTGTTTTTTGTCTTAGCTAATCAGTGTATGGCATTCCCTATGAGGATCTCCTTAGCTTTTTCCCCTGAATAGTAACTGTTGTCTGTTTTATAGGCCTTACAGTGGACAGATTTTTATCTTGATGAGCCAAGTACTATTTCTTAATCCAGGTTGGTTCCAATATATTTCTGTTGAATGACTTTGAGTTATGAAAATGTTATGGTTGTGTCCAGTTCCTCTAGAAACTGTACCTATTGATAAAGATGCTATAAACACACAAAACTTTTCAGCTTCTTACATTAAACTTCACTAATTTTGACAATTTAAGAAAAAAAATCACTCTTGCTCATGTATGTATTTTTATCAGCTCAATAGTGAATTAGTGCTGATTATAAAATAATTTGAAGGTGTTTTCTGCTGATGTAAATTCTAGCTAATATATACCTTAGTTTTTTCCTTATTGTTTTCTGAATTAATTTATTTTCACTGTTCATTTATGACAGTGAATTAAAGGGCTAGAACATAGTATTGCCAGCTAGTTTAATTTTTTCTGATAATAGCATTGAGGTGATTCTTTTTAATTTTTTAAATATTAGAGTATTTCACGAAGGTTTACTGTGCCTATTGTAGTAGTTTAAATTACAGTAAAATGAAATGGTAGGTGTGACTTGTA